AGAGTAAATTTGATTTAAAAGGTATGTATTAGGCAGCAGTTGCACATCCAGAAAAGGCCCAGTTTGGCTATGAAATCGGTTTCCTGCTGACAAGTCAGGCAAGGTCAGATAAAGTGGGGCCCTCATCCACCACAGGATTCTAATGCACCTTTAGGAACTGGAGTTCCCCCCCCCCCCCCCCCCCCGGAAACAGACCACTTCTCAGAAATGAGTTTTCAAGAAAGAGAAGTTGGCCTTACTGTGGTTTGACGGCTCTGGCCACAGTTTTTACCACGGCTATTTCGATTTTTTAAAGCTGCTTTCCAGTAACTGTGAGTAGACCTCAAGGCTGGTGCCTTCAACCACAGAGACCCTTCTGCTAAGGCCCTGGGGCTGTTCCACAAGGAGATGGAAGGTGGGGGGTGGGATGGATAAAAGAAGGGGACGGAGGATAGCAAGTGGCACTGTGTGGGGGTGGGGGCTGTCCCATGGGCGGAGGGCATCTGGGTGACCCACTGCAGACTGAGCCACAGCGTGGGGCTTACCAGCATCGACACTGCCTGAGGAGGGCACTCAGATCCAGCGCTGCCCTCCGCCTGTGTCCCAGCACAACTTCCTCAGGGGGGCTGAACAGATGAGAAGGGGTTTTGGAACAGTAACTCCTAGTAACCCTGGCTCCTCCAGTGGGGGGAGTGACCCTCCTCCAGGTGGTTGTCTCAGAACGACCCCTTGTGGCAAGGCGGAGTGATGACTTGCCCTAAGAGCAGTATGTAGAGGCAGGAAGGTTGCCTTGCCTCTAGACTCATAGAATTGGGCTTCTGGGGACCCAGGGTGGTTCGTTTGCCCCATCTCTGCTCCCAGAGGAAAGAATAGGGAGTTCAGAGGTGCATGCTTCCCATAATGGCCAGTGTGGTTCCTCTGGTTTATTCTGTTGAACAGAATTGAAATTCTCTCTCAACCTTAGCTCTTCATTTGTTAAAGCTAGTTTTTCAATTACTTATGCACTTAACTTCATTGTACATTAGGTCTCTGCAGTTTTTTACAATGTGGTCTTTTTACGCTCCAAGTTTTCAAACTCCCAACCTAAATAACAACTTGTCTTTAAAAATATATTTAGGGGGGGCACCTGGGTGGCTCAGTTGGTTAAGCAACTGCCTTCAGCTCAGGTCATGATCCCGGGTCCTGGGATCGAGCCCCGCATCGGGCTCCCTGCTCGGTGGAGAGCCTGCTTCTCCCTCTCCCACTCCCACTGCTTGTGTTCCCTCTCTAGCTGTCCCTCTCTCTCTCTCTCTCTGTCAATTAAATAAATAAATAAAATCTTCAAATATATATATATATATATATATATATATATATATATATATATATATATATATATATATATATTTAGGGGACGCCTGGGTGGCTCAGTGGTCAAGCGTCTGCCTTCGGCTCAGGTCATGGTCCCAGGGTCCTGGGATCGAGCCCGCATCGGGCTCCCTGCTCTGCGGGAAGCCCGCTTCTCTCTCTCCCGCTCCCCCTGCTTGTGTTCCCTCTCTAGCTGTCTCTCTCTCTGTGTCACATAAATAAATAAAATCTTTAAAAAAATAAAAATACATTTAAAATAATAGAAGGATGTATAAATAATTTATACTACTTCAACTCTGTGCAGCCACTTTAAATTATGCTTATGGTTCTACAATTCCTGGAGGGAATAGAAATTGGCACAGCCACTTCTTATTTTATTATTTTTGGGTTTCTATTATGGACAATCCAAAAATACAAATTTAGAGGAAATGACATAATGAATCCTCACATACCCAATACCTCCTTTATACCCTATTTCTTCACATAAGCAAATCCCAGCTTCTCCACACAAGCTCCTGAGTTCTCTGACCTGAACGTAGTCATCTTCAAGTGGTCCTGTTTTCCTGTAAGACAAGAGGTTCCAGGTTCATCCCGTACTTTTGCTGTCCCAGTGGAATCAGCCATTTCCTTTAAATAAATATTATTTAGAGAGCCCAATCTGGGTTCTCAGGGTAAGACTGATCCTGAGCTGCTCACCGTTTCTAGGTTACAATGCCTACTTTGGCATTCTCTTCAGGCTCTTTTAAACATTTGGACTCACATAACTATAATAGGCCACACTTGGCATTGACTTCACTTACGATAAGGATCCATGGACAGGAAACACAGCACACCAGCCAGGCGGTGGCAGGCATTTCTCTAGGCTCTACACTCCCTGACCCCACCAGAGGAGGTCATTGAGAGGGCATAGACTGCTGGTTGACCCATGAGCTAGACTGGGAAAATCAGAGGCTCCTCACCACCACCCACCCCTCCATCTGTCTACCTCCAACCCCCATCCCAACCCCACCCCAAGTCCTTGGAAAATACATTCTGCCTACCCGCCCCCCCACAGTGGGAGCTATTCCAAGGACATAGCCTTGAAAGCGTAAGGTGTTGTGGAGACCATCTGGGCTGTGCTTGTAACTGAACCCAGTTAAGGCCTCTGTATAAACTCTTAAGATTCTGGCAGGCAGAGATCTGCTCATCTTGCAGCTAGCCATACAAGACAAGCCTCACAAGTTAAGTTCCCTTGCTGATTAAACTTGCCACCTACTGATCTGGAGTGGTCCGCCTCTTTCTTCAGTCTCTCCTTGCCCTCCATGTACAGGGGCCAGTTTGCAAAGCAACACCCCCACCCGCGTTCCCACCACAGGATTGCCAGCTAAAGTGCAGGATGCCCAGTTAAACCTCAATTTCAGATAAACAATGAATAAAAACCTCTTACCCCAATTAGGAGCCAATATCTCTAGTAACAGTTCTATGGGACTAGCTTGCTCCTGTGTCCCGACAAGGGACATGTCCAGTACCAAGTCATAATTCTCAGGAAACTCCCAAACCATAGCTTCCCACGAGGTCTTTCTAATTCATTCACTGTCCTCACTGTCCAGATACAGTGCACCATTTTTACCACAAGCAACGTTGCCTAGTAACGCAGCTGACATTCCACTCTTATCAAATTCCCAGGAGAACAGAGCTATAGAAAGTAAACTCCATGGAGAATGAGAAATAATTTGTTTTAGCCCTTTATATATACAGGCCTTTTTGGAGGTCAGAGCTAGAACAGTATACAAAGATAGATGGATGATAGTTGACAGATGATAGATAGTATAAAGGAAAGACTCGGTTTTCCACCTGTGTGGAGAAAACCCAGTTCTTCCTTATTATATCTTTGTTTCCTGTGTGTCTCCTTTACTACTCACATGAAACACTTCACTCCTGACACTTCTGGTCACCAAATATGTGGAGGTTATTCCCCACACCACAAGCAATTCTCTGTAACACCAATTGGGTGTTGCACAGTTCAAATCAATTCAGACGCTACCTACCTGAAGATAGTGTCAGATCCCACAGATTAAGGGCTCAGTCCCATAAGATTGTCTCCACACCCCATACACACACACACACACACACATTTCGATGCCATTTGCAAGCCCAGGTTATCACCTCCTGACCAACCTATAGATCAGTTGTTTCCAATAGGCTATATAGATCAGGGGTTCAAATGACCCCCTCCTTGGGTTCAATTAATTGCTACAGCATCTCACAGAACTCAGAGAAACACTTTCCTTACTAGATCACCAGTTATTGTGAAAGGATATAACTCAGGAACAGGCAGATGGAAGAGATACATAAAACAAGGTATGGGAAAGGGGCGGGGAGCTTCCATGGCCTCTCGGAATACACCATTGCCCCCACCTCTCCACATGGTCACCAACCCAGAAGCTCTCGGATCCCCATCCTTTGGGTTTTTATGGAGGCTTCCTTACATTGGCATAACTGATTAAATCATTGGTCACTGGCAGTTGACTCAACCACCCAGCCCCTCTCCCCTCTCCTGAGGTTGGGGGTTGGGACTGACAGTTCCAACCCCCTAGTCACACAATTGATTCCCCTGACCTCCATCCTTAGGTGGGGTCCAAAAGTCATCCATTAACATAACAAAAGACACCTTTAACCCTCCTATCACTTAGGAAATCTCAAGGGCTCTAGGAGCTCTGTGCCAGAAATGGGGATGAAGACTAAATATATATTTCTTATTATAAATCACAATATCAAAGAGAGAGAGATGACAAAGATAATTTGTAAATATAGAGATTGATAAATATGGATAAATAAAACACATTATGGGTTCATATTGATACTTCCAATTCCAATACAAGATTATAAGGTTGTTATTTAACTATATTGATCTTCATTTCCAGAACTCCTTTCTCTCACGCTAAAAACCCCACTTCTCAACACACACTCATTTACTCTTTCACACAATATATATCCAACAGTCTTAAGATAAGAGTACCAATGCTATCACTAACAATATGATTACGGAAAACAGTTTAGGATATTCTCGAGGTTCTTTTTGTCCTTAGGGATATACTCAAATAATTGTTTGAAAGTCACTAGAAAGAGATTTTCTTTATACAGTTATAAAGAACTATAACTGATACAAAGTATAAAGAACTATAACTGATACAAAGTTCATGTTGCTTCTCATTGTTTAAGGATTTATTTTTTTAATGTTCTATACTTATACAAACATTTTCATGGTTCCAAAGCCAAATCTACAAAGTCTGTTTAGAGAATTCTAGCTTCTATCCCTGGCCCTTTGCCCCATCCCTTTCTTTTCCCATAGGTAACAATTTATTTTTATTTCACAGTTTATCCTTCCTTTGTGATTTTTTTACTATAGTTTTTGTCCCCCTCTTAGGAAAAGAGTGGTATATTATATAATTCTCTACTTTGCTTTTTTTTTTTTCAAATTTTATTTTTAATTTAAAAGCTTTATTTAGATGTAATTCACAATTTACCCATTCAAAGTATACAACTCAATGTTTTTTTTTTAGTATATTCAGAGAGTTATGCAACCACAATCAATTTTAGAACATTTTCATTCCTCCGAGAAGAAACCACATATTCATTAGCAGTCACCCTCCATTTTCCCCAACTTCCCAACCCCAGCCCTAGACAGCCACTAATCCACTTTCTCTCTCCTTGGAACTGCCTGTTGTAGATATTTCATATACATGAAATCATACAGTGTGTGACCTTTTGTGTCTGGCCCCTTACACCTAGCATACACTCTGGGATTGTCCCCTCAGAGGCCTACAAGGCCAGGCAAGAAAATAACTAAGTGAGCCAGGGAACGCATAAATCATCTGAAAGGGGCTGATCCCCCCGATTTTTGCCAGGTGGGAACACCTCCATCCTCTGTTGTTGTACTATTCGAGAGAAGTTGGAAATCTACATTTTTATGTGAAATTTTCTGATTTGTTCCCAAGTTTTGCCAATGTGTTTGGGAGTTGTATTCAAACCTCTCTGTGAAAACAGAGAGAAAATGAAGGGAACTGGCCTAGTTGAGGACTTGACTCAGGAAATCCATGAGGCCATGTCCAAGCTCATGGCCCCCCCTCCCTGCAGCCAGAGGCGCAGCGGGGGCTTAGGAAGGCAGGCTCTCCCACCTGCCCACCTACCGTTCAGTCTCCCGTAGCTCACGAGGACTCTGTGGAGCTACAGCCTGGCCCTACTTCACCTTTGCTTCCTCATCTTTAAAAAGGAGAGAATAAAGTCATTGACAGCGGCCCTGAGCTGCAATCTGCACAGTGCATTGCCAATGGGAAGTGTCATCAAGCCCGAGCATGTTCAGAAATAGGTGTTAAAGTAATTAAATTGCATCATCTCCTTGGTTCAGCAAAATTTTGGGAAATGGAGAGTAGATAAAAATGTTCTTGAAAGATAAGGAGAGGGGCACCTGGGTGGCTCAGTCGGTCGGGTATGTGCCTTCGGCTCAGGTCATGATCCCAGGGTCCTGGGAGGGAGCCCCGTGTTGGGTTCCCTGCTCAGTGGGGAGTCTGCTTCTCCCTCTCCCTCTGCTCTGCTCCTCTCCCCACTTGTGAATAAATAAAATCTTAAAAAAAAAGGAAAGATAAGGAGAAATTTGAAAAAAACAAAGATTAAAAGTATAATGCTACAATAATCAACACAGTATAGTACGAATGCCATACAGACTAGCAAATAAATCCAAGTACACTTAAGTACTTTGTAAACAATGAAACAATAATAATAAAAAAATCCACCAGAAAGGCATTCATTCTTTAATGTGTTATTGGAATCTTAATCACTGGGGGAAGGAATCAGCTGAGGTAGCCACCTTCCACCATATACCGCGATCGATATAAGAATTAAGAAACTGCAACCACAAAAGAACTTTCTCTGCATTTAGAACAAACTTTCAAAGCACAAAAGCAGTGTGGTACATACCAAAGAAAAAGGCTGATGGATCTGAGTGCAAAAAAGGACTTTTTAACTCCTAGATTTTTTTTAAAGCCATAATTAAAACTAAAACAGTAATCTGGGCAAAATGTGAGTGACAAATACAACAAGGGTACTACCTAAAGACATAGACATTATTATCAATATTAAATACAAAGCTCTTACATGATTCAATAAGGAAACAAATCCCCCCATAACTGGGTAAGTACATAAATTGACATACCACAGGGAGAAAAAAAAAACGGACAATATCTGTGACAATATTTATAACTTCTCTAAAAATCAGAGACAAACTAAAATGAGATGAAATTTTTTTTTTGCTTGGAAGTTAGCCAAGATTAAGAAGAGGATATATCCAAACCAGCATGATTTGGGTGAGGCTGGATGTATATTATCATATAGTACAAGCATCGTGGAAATCAACGTGATATTGCCATCAGGAAAACTTTAAATGTTACCACCTTATAACCCAGAAATTAACCTTCTAAGAATGTATTCTAAGAAAATGATAAGAAATATGAAAAGAGATTTGAGTACGAAGAGGTCTATCAAAATATTATTTATCATAAAAAATATTATTTATCATGATGGAAAATTATATCAGCCTAAATGACTTACAGCAGGGGAGTGATTAAATAAATCATGATATAGCTCTAGAATGGAATATTACACATTTTTGTTATTAGACACATTAACAACTAATTTTCAGTAATAAAAAATAGAAGATATAATCCGGAACCATCCTCCACAAAGATTCATGAAGCACCTACTATGTGTGTGGTAGTGCTCTAGGCATTCGGGATACATCACTGAACAAAACTGACATGGTCCTGCCTTCTGGGAGCTTACACTGAGGGTGTGAGGGAGAGACAATAAACAATAAAGAGAAGAAATAAGAAAATGGGGCGCCTGGGTGGCTCAGTTGGTTAAGCGACTGCCTTCGGCTCAGGTCATGATCCTGGAGTCCCGGGATCGAGTCCCGCATCGGGCTCCCTGCTCAGCGGGGAGTCTGCTTCTCCCTCTGACCCCCCCCCCTCATGTGCTCTCTCTCATTCTCTCTCTCTCAAATAAATAAATAAAATCTTTAAAAAAAAAAAAACAAAGGGCGCCTGGGTGGCTCAGTCGGTTAAGCGACTGCCTTCGGCTCAGGTCATGATCCTGGAGTCCCGGGATCGAGTCCCGCATCGGGCTCCCTGCTCGGCAGGGAGTCTGCTTCTCCCTCTGACCCTCTTCCCTCTCGTGCTCTCTGTCTCTCATTCTCTCTGTCTCAAATAAATAAGTAAAATCTTTAAAAAAAAAAGAAAGAAGAAAATGGCAAAACAGTTTGGAAGGAAACAAAAGGTGACGCGTGGAAGGAAACGAAGAGGAGAGCACCGTAAGAGGGACTCAAAGCTTGAAGCACAGGGTTCAGCCACACTGATACCAACAGGAGTACATTTAGGTACAAAAGAGACCTATGTCCTCACCTGTTAAATATTTAACACCCGTATTATATATCTATCCTTTTTTTAAAAGATTTACTTATTTTAGAGAGAGAGTGCATGAGTTGGGGGAAGGGGCAGAGAGAAAGAGAACGGAAGGGACTCCCTGCTGAGCATGGAGCCCATGCAAGGCTCCATCCCAGGACCTTGGGATCATGACCTGAACAGAAACCAAGAGTCAGAGGCTTAACCTACTGAGCCACCTAGGCGCCCCTGTATCTATCCTTATGTCGATTCTTTACATAGCTCATATATTAAACAACAACAACAACAACAGCGGCACCTGGGTGGCTCAGTTAAGCATCAGCCTTCTGCTCAGGTCATGATCCCAGGGTCCTGGGATGGAGCCCCGCATCGGGCTCCCTGCTCAGCGGGAAGCCTGCTTCTCCTCCTCCTCCCCGCTTGTGCTCTCTGTCACTACCTCTCAAATGAATAAATAAAATCTTTAAAAAAACAAAAACAAAAAACACCAAAATATCAACAGTGGCTATCTGTGGCAGGTGGGATTGTGGTGATTTTTTATTTTATTTTTGTATAGTTTGCTGTATTTGCTAATATGAGTAGGCCCAGTTTCATTATCAGGAATAAAACAATGTATGATATTACATGTTTTAAAAAAGCACAGCTCTGTCTACCCATTCGCCCCCTGAAGGGTTTTCCAGAAAGGAGTAAGGTGTGGTTTTAAAGGTGGTGAGGGGTCTGACCTTTCTGAGACAGCGTTCTTCCACAAGAGGGTGCCTGGCCTTCAAGTAAGGACCGGGCGGGGTCCCGAGTTTGGAGTCGGATTTTAAGGGAGCCGTGTAGAAAGCGTAAATCTTGCCTGTTTCCAACTCCACACCTAGGAACCATACACAGAGTGGCTCAAAAGCTTCTGGCACTCTGGGGGCCTGGGTGGCTCAGTCGGTTAAGCGACTACCTTCAGCTCAGGTCATGATCCCAGGGTCCTGGGATCAAATCCCACATCAGGCTCCTTCCTCCGCAGGAAGCCTGCTTCTCCCTCTCCCACTCGCCCTGCTTGTGTTCCCTCTCTTGCTGTGTCTCTCTCTGTCAAATAAATAAATAAAATCTTTAAAAAAAAAAAAAAAGCTTCTGGCACTCTAAGGCCTGCCTCCGTGGTCAGTAATCATGAAAAAGTCCATTTTCCCTGAAATCAGTACGTACGGTTTAGCAGGACTTGGGCTCAGCAAGTACTGGTCGGAAGAGCATGCTCCTTGCCCTTGGGGAGCTAATAACCAAATGTAGGAGTGCTGACATCACTGACGCCATCTTGTTCATGCCCGCACAGTGACCTCCCTCGGGGGCTGACTGTTCCTGGCCTGGGCAGGTTAACGCAAGCCCTGATCCAAGGAGGGGAGGCTTGTTCTGCCCGTCCCTGAAGGGGCGCACAGAAGGCACCACTTGAGATAACTAGTAGAGGAGACTGGTGCACAGATGGTGCCACTTTAGTTAACTACCCTGTAACCACACCACCGTGCCCCTCAATAAAAACTGGGGATTAAGGTCGGTTGGGGGATAAGTGGGGGAAAGAAGAGCTGCATAGTGTCCTGGATCATGCACCTGCCCCCGTCAGTCAATTACCCTGAATAAAACTGGGTGTTAACAGTATGGAGTGGCTTGTATTGTTTTTCAGTCTCCAAGTGTCTTCTCAGTCCAGGAAACTTACTTTACGGCCCCTCCTCCACCTTCTAACACCAAACCAGCGAGAGCGAACTCAGTTCCTTTTCACAGTGTGAGCGCTGGGGGAGAAAAAGGAGGACGGCAGAGCAAGAGAAGATCTGGCGATCAATCAATGCAGAAGCAGATGTGAATCAACGGGATGCTGTCCCGTGCTGGAAAGACTGGTGTGTAGAGCAGGGAAGGGCAGGTGGAGAGGGTGAGCAAGGCAGAGGCACAGGTAGCATGGTGAAAAGCCACTGACCTGGATGGTGCTGGAGATTTTGCAACCTAATGACCCCCGGTTATCAGAAATTGTACCCCTGGCCCCAGTCTCTTAGCAAACCTGACCTACATGAAACCGAAGAGCAAAGAGAGCGTCCATAGCTCAAGGCGCTGACACAGTCATTCTGTCGCTGCCTGCCAATTTGGCTTGCAGGTGTTTACTTAGCTGTTCTTGCTCGATGCGCCCCCACTTCCATCAGCAAGGCTTGCTTCACTGCCTGCTCAGGAACACAGTGCTGCAGGCCTTGGCCAGGAGACGGGAACGAAGGTGGACAAGAATGCCCAAGAAATGTACCTTACTCATCCCAGCGCATGATGGGACGGGGAAAAGAGAAGAGGCCCACCCAGCCTGACCTGGGGGCCAGGGAAGGCTCCCTGGATGAGATGGTACTTGAGCTTGTCAGGAAAGACATATGGGAGTTGGAGAGGAGAAAAGGGTGACTGGCTGAGGGAAGTGCACAGGGGTGAGAGAGGATGGCCTTGTGTCCATGCAAGCAGCTCGGCCGGGCTAGAGCCTGGTGTGAAGGCGTGAAAGTGGGCAGAAGCAGTGCCCGAATGGAGGCTGCTTTCTTTGGAGGGCACTGGGAAGCCTTGAGGGTCTGAAACAGCGGAGCTACCTGAACGTTAACAGTTTGCAAAAGTCACTGATGACCATTGTGTTGCCAAATCCACTGGGTACTTTTCAGTCTGCATCCTAGGTGAACTCTCTCAGCAGTATTTGGTACTGTTGCTTTCTCCCTCCACCCTGGAGCAATCTCATGTCTTCTCGGTCACCAAGTTCTGATTTCTCTGTCTGGCTCTCTGGTCACTTTTTCCAGCTCCCACGCTGACTGCTCCTCCCCCCTCTGGCCTCTCAGAGATGTTCCACGAGGCCCTGTTTTGCTTCCTTCTCACCATCCACTCCTGCTCTCAACCACCCCATTTTATTCCCATGGCGTCACATACACCTTTTTAATAGTATCAGGAGAGAGAGGAGGGTCCAGAGTCCAAGGTCATAGCTCCTGGTGTCATGGCTCAGTGAGCATGTTCATGCTGAGTTGTGAGCAATTGTGGGCTGAGTAAGGGGGAGAGGTCAGAATGGATTCAGGGATAAGCAGAGGCATGTACTGGAGAAGGAAAGGGTTGCTGATTAAAATAGTCAGTGTTCTGGATCTGAAGAAAGAGTACAGGGCTCACTATTCCCAAGCGTGGTGGGAGTACTGGACACTAATGTGTGTTAAAAGACCAGGTAGGGGGTCTGAGAAGAATGTGAAGGGGGGAGGTGCAGGAAGGATGGGTAAGCCTAACTGGGCAAGCTGACTCCAAGTCTAGGAAGTCAGTGGAGACAGGGATCCAGGCCACAAGAGCAAGGCCAGCAGACTAAGTGGTAGCCTCTGGCCTGGCTTGGATCTCGGCTGCATTGTGGGCAGGCAGGCATCCAAGGGCGTGCACTCAGTCTTGGAGACAAAGGCTTAAGGGTGTTGGTGGGCCCTTATGTGCATTCCAAACCACACTGACACATCCATGGTGAGGCGGGGAAGTCATGAGCTATTCCTGGCCCCTTCTGTTTTCCAACCTCATATGCCGACAGAACAGAGAATTTCTCAAGGCTCTAACATTACAGCCACTGATAAAGCAAATTTGTTTTGTGCCTCATCAAAAGTGGCAGTTAAGATCCAAAATGTCCTAAAGACGTTTCTGTGGCATAATAATTAGTAGAAATGGGTAGAATACTCTGGAAATGGTGTTAGAGCAGTTGGCTTTCTATTTAGAAAAAATTAAGTTAGAGTCCCACCTTAACATCACACACAAAAGTAAATATGATAATTAGTCATTGATTTTAAAACTTCCCACAAAGAAAAGCTCAGGCCCAAATGACTTAACTGATGAATTCTACCAAACATTCAAAGAACTAATACCAATCCTTCCCAAACTCTTCCAAAAAATAGAAGAGGAAGGAATATTTCCTAAGTAATTCTATGAAAAGACAATGCACAGAATGGGAGAAAATATTTGCAAATCATATATCTTAAGGAGGGTGTATCTAGAATATATAAAGAACTCTTACAACTCAATGAGAATTTAAAAAAATACAACTTAAAAATAGGCAAAGGGTCTGGGTAGACATTTGTCCAGTGAAGATGTACAAATAGCCATTATAGACATGAAACTATCTCAACATTGTTAGTCAGGGAAATGGAAATCAAAATCATAAGGAGATACCACTTCACACTTAACTAGGAAAGCTACAATAATTTTTTTAAAAGGCAATACCAAGTATTGGCAAGGATGTGAAGAAATTGGGATGGCTGGGTGGCTCAGTGGGTTAAGCGTTTGCCTTCAGCTTGGGTCATGATCCCAGGGTCCTGGGATAGAGCCCTGCATCGGGCTCCCTGCTCAGCGGGGAGCCTGCTTCTCCTTCTCCTGCTCCCCCTGCTTGTGCTCTCTCTCTCTCTCTGACAAATAAATAAAATCTTTAAGAAAAAAGGATGTGAAGAAATTGAAACCATCATACATTGTTGGTGGTAATGTAAAATGGTGCAGCCACTGTGGAAAAGAATTTAGCAATTCCTCAAAACGTGAAACAAGTTACCATGTTATCCAGCAGTTCTACTCCTCTGTATGTATCCAAGAGACTTGAAACATACTTCCACACAAAAACAGTGTGCAGCATCATTCCTAAGCCAAAAGTGAAAACAAACCAAATGTCTACCAAGTGATCAATGGATAAACAAATTGTGGTATATCTTATTATTCAGCAAAAGAAGGAAATGAGGTACTCAACATGTTACACTGTGTTAAAACATGTTGCTAAATGAAATATAAAACAGTATGCTAAATGAAAGAAGTCATTTGCAAAAGACCACCTATCATATGAATCCATTATATGAAATGTCTAGAATAGGCAAAATCTAGAGAGACAGGCATAGATTAGTGTTTGCAGGGGAATGGAGAAGGGGTGGAGATTGGGGAGTGACTGCTAACAGGGACTGGGGTTCTCTAGGGGAAATGAGAATGTTCTGGAATTAGAGTGTGGTGATGGTTGCACAAGCCTGTGAATACAGTAAAAAGCATTTAATGAGGGGTGCCTGGGTGGCTCAGTTGGTTAAGTGACTGCCTTCGGCTCAGGTTGTGATCCTGGAGTCCCAGGATCGAGTCCCGCATCGGGCTCCCTGTTTGGTGGGGAGCCTGCTTCTCCCTCAGACCCTCCCCCCTCTCATGTGCTCTCTCTCTCTCAAATAAAATAAAATCTTAAAAAAAAAAGCACTTCATTATACTTTTTTAAAAGGGTAAGTTGTATACTATATAAATTATATCAATTAAGCTGCAGAACAAATAAATAAATCTGAGGTGGATTAAATATATAAATGTAAAATAAGCCTTAAAAATAAAAGAAAACAGAGAAGACTGGTTCAATAATCTCGGTGTAAGGAAGGCCATTCTAAGTATGATACAGAACTCAGAATATATAAAGGACAATATTAACAGATTGAGTACATTGAAATAAACAATCTTTAATGAAAAAGACACTATAAGTTTTAAATATAAATCATGAAGGACTTTTGCAACATTATAATATATTTAAAGAATGGTCTTTACCTAAATGTGAGACAGGAGTCCATCAAAATCCTAGAGGAGAGCACAGGCAACAACCTCTTTGACCTCAGCCGCAGCAACTTCTTCCTAGAAACATCGCCAAAGGCAAGGGAAGCAAGGGCAAAAATGAACTATTGGGACTTCATCAAGATAAGCTTTTGCACAGCAAAGGAAACAGTCAACAAAACCAAAAGACAACCAACAGAATGGGAGAAGATATTTGCAAATGACATATCAGATAAAGGGCTAGTATCCAAAAATCTATAAAGAACTTATCAAACTCAACACCCAAAGAAAAAATAATCCTCAAGAAATGGGCAGAAGACATGAACAGACATTTTTCCAAAGAAGACATCCAAATGGCCAACAGACACATGAAAAAAGTGCTCAACATGGCTCGGCATCAGGGAAATCCAAATCAAAACTTCAGTGAGATACCACCTCACGCCAGTCAGAATGGCTAAAATTAACAAGTCAGGAAATGACAGATGTTGGCGGGGATCGGAGAAAGGGGAACCCTCCTACACTGTTGGTGGGAATGCAAGCTGGGGCAACCACTCTGGAAAACAGTATGGAGGTTCCTCAAAAAGTTGAAGATAGAGCTACCCTACGATCCAGCAATTTCACTACTGGGTATTTACCCCAAAGATACAAATGTAGTGATCCAAAGGGGTACGTGCACCCTGATATTTATAGCAGCAATGTCCACAATAGCCAAACTATGGAAAGAGCCAAGGTGTCCATCGACAGATGAATGGATAAAGAAGATGTGGTATATATATACAATGGAATATTATGCAGCCATCAAAAAAAAAAAAAAAAACGAAACAAAATCTTGCTATTTGCAATGACGTGGATGGAACTAGAGGGTATTATGCTAAGCGAAGTAAGTCAGTCAGAAAGACATGTATTCATATGATCTCACTGATATGAGGAATTCTTAATCTCAGGAAACAAACTGAGGGTTGCTGGAGTGGTGGGGGGTGGGAGGGATGGGGTGGCTGCGTGATAGACATTGGGGAGGGTATGTGCTATGGTGAGCACTGTGAATTGTGTGAGACTATTGAATCACAGACCTGTACCTCTGAAACAAATAATACATTATATATTAAAAAAAAAGAAGAAGATAGTAGGAAGGGAAAAATGAAGGGGGGGAAATCGGAGGGGGAGACAAACCATGAGAGACTATGGACTCTGAGAAACAAACTGAGGGTTCTAGAGGGGAGGGGGCCGGGGGGGATGGGTTAGCCTGATGATGGGTATTAAAGAGGGCACATACTGCATGGAGCACTGGGTGTTATACGCAAACAATGAATCATGGAACACTCCATCAAAAACTAATGATGTAATGTATGGTGATTAACATAACATAATAAAATAAAATTTAAAAAAGTTCCTCCATATTGTACCGTGTATCAGGACTTCATTCTATTTTATTAGTGAATAAAATGCCATTGTATAGGAAAAGAAAAAATGGTCTTTAAAAAAAAAGAATGGGGGCACCTGGGTGGTTCAGTCATTAGGCATCTGCCTTCGGCTCAGGTCATGGTCCCACGGTCCTGGAATCGAGCCCCACATTGGGCTCCCTGCTCCGTGGGAAGCCTGCTTCTCCCTCTGTCTGTCACTCCCCCTGCTTATGTTCCCCCTCTCGCTGTCTCTTTCTCTGTCAAATAAATAAAATCTTTTAAAAAAATAAAATAAGTAAATAAAATCATTATGAAAGGGGCGCCTGGCTGCCTTCTTCAGCAAAGCATGCAACTCTTGATCTCCGGGTTGTGAGTTCAAGCCCCACCCACACTGGGTGTAGAGATTACTAAAATAAATAAATCTTTAAAAAATAAAAAATAGGGTGCCTGGGTGGCTCAGTCATTAAGCGTCTGCCTTCAGCTCAGGTCATGATCCCAGGGTCCTGGGATCGGGTCCCACATGAGGCTCCCTCTTTGGCAGGAAGCCTGCTTCTCCCTCTCCCGCTCCCCCTCCTTGTGTTCCTGTTCTTGCTATCTCTCTCTCTGTCAAATAAATCAATAAAATCTTTTAAAAAGTAAAAATAAAATAAGAAGTAAAGTAACATCATTACAAAAATGATGAACTCCCCCAGTAATATGCAGCACGGGCCAGAATGAGAGGAAAGGGGCATTTGTATGGAGGAATTTCACAGTGAGTGAAAATTGGTGCAGCCCCTTGGAAGACAATTTGGTAAACATTCTGGTCCCGATGCTACCACTGCCCAAATAGGGGCAAGCTACTTAATGTCTCTCTTTACGTTTCCTTCACTTGCAGGTGGGGATAATAATATCTGCTCTACTTGGCCTCAGACAGTTGTTAAGAAATTCACACAAACTCTAGAAGTAGGCTCTAAAAATCAGGAACCACTGTAGACAAGTCAAAGAATTGTGACTGATGAAGCTATAGGTTGTCTTGACAAACTCACAAGAGATAAGCTGGAGGACCCCATGGGTCCCGTTGGAGAAACAGCATCCTTCAGAGTGGTCCAGAGGTGGCTTACAAATAAGAAGAAAGAGTTTCCTACTATGTGTCGCAGGGACATCTGGGGACAGCCGGCTAAATATGACTCTCCTCCCCGCCTCCCTTTCTCCATCAATAAGAGTTGAGGCCAGCAGTAGTGTTTCCTCAACAGCAGGCTACCATCTGCCCATCGTTGGCTGGACTAGGGGTGGGCCAGTGCAGTTTTCTCCCGGAGAAACTCTGAACTGGGGGAGAGAACAGAGGGGTGGACCGCCAGGCAGAATTCCATGCAGCCAGAACAGTTACATTCGAATTGGGAGTTAAGCCATCTTTGGACGAGGAAGCCCGGTTGGTCGAGAATGAGGCAGAGCTGAGAAACAGCCTGACCCTCTTTGGGCTGCTGGTGCCCTGTGGCCTGATGCTGGTTCTTCCTGAGGCCCAGTTCTTGGGCTCCCAGAGTCACCCCTGAATCCTGATAAATTTCTCCTTTTTTTCAAAGGCTAGCATGAGGTTTCTGTTGCCATAGATCCTTAACTAACATATAATCTAGGCCCGGTTCATGTAGCAGGGTTACAATGAACAGGAACAGTACAGAGGCAGTTAAGAAACAAATCACCTTGCACTCTTAACTAGGTCATGAACATATTGTGCAACCTGGGCAGGTATAGTCATTCCAACGAAGAGAACAGGAAAACAGGACATCAGCTGAGTCAGGAGAAATATAGTCATTATCCTAAACTGCACCCACATTTGACAGCACAATTCAGGATAATAAACCTGCCAGACCAGACTACATTTTGTGAGAATTTCTAACCGCTCTTGGGACTGCTACTACTGAGAGCTTGCTGGTTTGGGAGAGTCCATACCTAAGGAATCCAAAATTTATAGACTCCCCCCTGCAAGTTAGAGAAAGTTGGAGAACCATGAATACTAAACTTAAACTCAAAACGAATAGGCAAACCCCAGAACTATCAATAGAGCCTCACTATTTCTGAGCCCCATCAATCCAAAAGGAACCTAAAAAACAGTAGCTATCATTAGTTTCCTTCATGCCTTCATTCGACAAATACTGAGCGCCTCCTGTGTGCCGAGCACTACGTTGGGGGCTGAGGATACAGCAGTGAACAAAGGGGATGAAGTCCCGACCTCAAGGAGCTTATATTCCAAGTGGATGGAGAGGGACAATATAAAATCAGGATATAATATGTCTGTGTATGTGATGGAAAGGAAAGTGAAGCAGGGTAGGTGTGTAGGGGTGATGGATGGATGTTACTTCATATGCACATGCACTGGTCAGGCAGAGCCTCTGTGATAAGGTGACATCCGAACACAGACTTCTCAGAAGGGAGGGAGAAAGTGATGCAGCTCTTTGGGCCAAGAACTTTCCAGGCAGAGGGAAGACCTAGTAAATACCCTGAGACGGGAGCCACACTGCTGGCTGGAGCCATGTGAGCTCAGTGAAGAGGAGGGATGTCCTATAGGCCTCAGTAAAAACTTTAACATTTACTCTGAGGAAGTCATTCCGATTTTAACTAAAGGAATCCAACACACACATGATGGTGGGTTAGACCACATGGCAGTGTGGAGACGGCGAGAAGTGGTCAGATTCTGGATATTGCCACAGGATCCACTGAGAAGATTGGGTATGGGTTTTCAGAGCAAGGAGTACAAGGTGAGTCCCAGGCTTCTGGCTTCCAAAGGAAGATGCTTGTTTGGGGTCGGGGTGGCGGGTGGGGAAGCAATGAAGTCTTTACGGATCTGAGAGCTGTCTATTATGAAGTACTTTAGGCAAGAGTATGGGCTGGAGGAAGGACCAAAAATTAGAGCCAGGAGTTGGGCAGAGCTGATGAGCACGATGGCTAGAACAGAAAGCCATCGTAGGTCAAGGCCAGAAGCTAAGACACTTAGATATGGAGATGCAATACTGAAAGCAAAGTCATGGTCAGAGTTTCAGTCCAATTTGGGAGACAATGGCAATAATTCAAAGAGGATAAGAGTAGTGATAATTTCTAAAATACCAGGAATCAGGCTAAGAGGCTTTGTGTACAGCGTCTCATTTGATCCTTACAACAGCCCCATGAATTAGGTGTCATTAGCCCTATTTCACAAATGAGGAGTTAAGAGAATGAATAACCTGTACCAGGCTGGTAAGCAGAACACAGTTTTAAGCTGGTTTGGATCCGATTCTGAAGCACGTGTGCTTGAAGACTATGCAATACCGCAAGGTTCAGTGTCTCACTTGGCAGTGGAAGCCATCTCAGAGGTTCGAGCTAGGTTGGTGTGGGAGTGGTAAGCTCGGGTGGAGGCAGAGTCCAAGTATACAGACAAATATGGATCCAAGTTTGTGGTTTACTCTGGGCATGATGAAACAGCTTTGGACAGGAGTTTGAACCAGGAGCCCAGGATCTGGCACACCACCCCCCTGACCCTACTGCAGCAGTACCAAGAGCGAGGCAAGGCATCGCAGACGCTGATGGTTGCGATAGAAGGGGAGTATTCTGTGTAGCTAGATTTGTTACCACCACCATTGCATTATCCCAAGGCATCCAAGATAAACATGTAAATCCAATGGAATTTGATTGTTAGATCTTTACGTTGGAACTGAGATAGTGCTCCAACATGAGTAATAAAACATCCCTCTCTTCCGTAAGATACTTGTTATATACCAACAGTTGGAAGAGCTCACAAAGGTCCCTCTCTTCACCTGGCTTATTTATTTATTCATTTTAGATTTTATTTGTTTGAGAGAGAGAGCACGAGCGGCGAGAGAGGGGAGGAGACACCCCGCTCAGCATGGAGCCTGACGCGGGGCTCAATCCAGGACCCTGGGATCATGACCTGAGCCAAAGGCACACACTTAACCAACTGAGCCACCCAGGCTCCCCTTTACCTGGCTTATATAAAGAGACCCCTCCAGGCAGTATGAGGAAAGAGCTGGGTGAATTCACACTGCTCTCTCTTTTTTTTTTTTTTAAAGATGTTATTTATTCATTTGAGACAGAGATAGAGAGCATGAAAAGTGAGGGGAGACAGAGGGAGAGGGAGAAGCAGGCTCCCCGCCGAGCCAGGAGCCCGACGCGGGGCTTGATCCCAGGACCCTGGAATCATGACCCGAGCCAAAGGCAGATGCTTAACCATCTGAGCCACCC